GAGAACTGCATCAAGTAGAAAAAAGATCTAAGTTAAAAACCTGAAAATGAAAATAAAGACAGTTCTAGACTCATACCCAAAAATTGAGGTAAAAAGTTGAGATGAGGTAAAACTGAGAACAGTTCAGAATGCACATGATTTAACGGGAAAGCGACTAGAGACATAAGCTGTGACCAAATCATGAAGAGCCTTGAAAGCTTCATTTAAGGCGTCTTTTCTTCTTTCAGAAGGAAACAGGGAGCTCTGGGAGGGTTACAATTAGGGAATGACACAATCAGATCTGATTTTACCAAGATCACTCGATCTGTTGTGTGGATAATGGTGGCCAAAGAGACAACAGAGGAGGCTACAGCAGTGGTCCAACAGCATTAAGGGAGGGGAGTGGTGACGCCAAGAAGTGAATTCAAGAGAAGTCCGTGGGTAGGTACAAGGAAAGCATTTGGTGGTGAAACAGTGACTACTCATCTCTACAATATCTGCCTGCAGCTGCTCCATATTGTCTACTGTGACTGTCATAATGGATGTATTGTGGTTTCCCCTCTAACCTTTTCTTCTTCCACATTTTAAAAACAAAAATTCAGGAAAAAAACCTTGTCAGATGAATACATGAAGTTTTATCAGTTATCTGAGGGTGTCTGAGTGGATGTCCTTTCCCTTACATGCTTGTGTAGCCTTTTCAGCATTACTGTGTTTTGTGAGAATGTGAGAGGAAAACTATCAGAAGATGGACAATCAGAGAGAAGAGAAGAAAAGGGCTCCTTTGAAGCAAAGACTAAGGGTCCAGCTCTTCAGCCATCTAGAATAGTAGTTCTTAAACTGGGCTCTAGGATAGAATCAACCAAAGAACTCAAAAAGAAAGAAAAACTAGGCCCAGCTCACCCTCACCATATCCCATTCCTCAAATTGCCCAATGATTGTTTGAATCTCTTATGATTTTCCTAACCCAATTTGAACACTGAATTCAGATTACTTTATATTTTTAATTTTTAGCACAGTACCAGGAACACTGTGTCATTGAATACTTATTTAATGCATGTAATAGCTACTTACTGATAGGGTTGGGTGTACTATGGGAAAAAGGTGATTAGTACCTCAGGGTCCTTACACTGTGTAGCAGGAGCTATCAAACATTGACTATAAAGCCACATTTTAAATATAAATTTTATATATAATGTAGTGTGCATGTGCAAGCACACATTAAAAACAAACACACACAACTGCAAAACATTTTCACAAAATGACACCCTAACCATGTGCAACACACTTTGATATTTTCCTTTATATTATTTTCTGTTCGTTTTTTGTAAAATTAAAAAAAATACTTGCAACTCATTATATTGATTTCAATACCAGCCAGAGAGCCATTCAATATTTTGAAAAAAGTGTTTTATAGTAAATGTTCTAACTGACAGTAATACACTGCAGACGATTTTATTTCAGTAAAAATACCAAAATTTTAGTGTCTTTGAAAAAAATCCCAATTATTGCAAAGAAAACTCAGTCCAGTTTTGAAGACGACACAGGGCTTTATCTCACTACTTAGAAGAAACTAAACCTCACATGAGTAAAGAGAAATAATTCTTTAAGACTCACAATGATGTACGAATAATGAGATAATTTCCTTAATGGACTCTGTTAGCATTAGTCAGGGAAAAATATGAAAGTGAGAGACTTTTCACCAGCAATATCACACACAATATTAAAAATATATTAATGAATATTAATATATTGATATTAACATATTAATATAATGAGTTTATTGTTTGTCTTAATCACATTTAATAAAGTTATTTCTCTTTTGGACAAACTAACATATAATAAGACAGTAATTATAAATACAGGAGATCTATAACTGTGGCATTCCCGACTACCAAAAGAGAAAGTATTTCCATTTTCATTAAGCTACCTATGAAACCAATATGTAAGCACTAAGTCCTGACAGCATTTTCTTTGCTGCTACCTGCTTTATTGATCTCATGTGTCAAATATTAATGATAATGCACACCTGTGGCAGAGACCTTTATTTGTCTCCTCCTTCAATATCTATTATTCCCCTTCTCTGTAATGCTAGACGTTTAATGGGGAATATGTCCACCCAGCTAAAGGCTCCCAGCATCCTTTGCTGCCAGGTATGCTTATATGACCAGGTTACATACACAATGAGATATGAGCAACTCCTGGGTCATAAGCTTTTTTCTTTCCCACTTCTGTTAGCAAGGATGTGATGACCACCCATAGGCCAAAGACAGACATCAGATATGGAAGATGGCTCACACTGCTACATATATGAGAGAACTAAACACATATATTGTTTCAGCCTCTATTGTTTCCTTAAAGCAGCAAAACGTATATCCTAAATAATACGGAATTTCTCTTCTACTATTTAATCTTCCAAACTCAGTGAGAAAGGTAGATAAAATAAGAGTGAAGTTTAATTATAATATAGAAGCAAGGTCAATGGACAAAAGCATGTAAGAATGTGAGGCTGTCCAAGTAACAGACAGTTATATGGTTACAGAAAGGTCATAAGCTCCCAAATCGACAATCAAGAATGTCAAACGAATGTTTCCTAGAGGATAGACTACTTGTCTTCCTCAGATTGAAGCTTCCTGTTTTTTTTTTTTTTGATGAGATCAAACTTTCTTGTATATATTTCATACAAAATACTGAAATAGGACATAACTGCATTGCTCACATCACTACACCAAAATGTCATAAGACTGACTTCTCAGCATGAAAATGCACAGCAACATGAATATGAAAAGGCTCTCCACTTTAAATGTATTCACACCTCAGTGCAGAGTCAAATGGAGGCCACTGTACTGTGAACAGGTGTAGCATTCTCAAATAACTAAGTAAGGGGACTTAACAGAATGTTTTTTTTTTTAAAGTTGACACAGTTTTTTCAGATAGAAGGTGTCTCTTATGGCTGGAACTCCTCAGTGATAAACCATCTAATTGTTCTAAATTTTTGTAATACTTTGCTTTCTTATGCAACTAATTTGGAGATATTTTAATGTATTGTTTATTCATTTGGCCCCTATTTCTTCATGTACAGAGATTCTTTCAAGACAAAGTTCATAGAGATACATACTACTCCAATAATGGAAAACCTACCTTTCAGGTACAGCTGCTGAAGGAAAATACAATGGTGAATTTCAAATAATTATTTGATATCATCACCAATATTTTAAACCTAATGCCTGACTAAATTTTCCACTTATGTTGTCCAAAATTTTTGAACATGTATTTGTTGAGAGTAATAGGGCCTCACTGATCCAACATTGCAGATATTAGTAGGATATACTTTCTAGCTATAGCTCCTTTACATTAAATTCTCAATACAAATGCAATATTGAAAAGTAAAACCAAAGTCAGGTATAGCCCCTTTAAAAATGGAACCCAGGGAAAACACCAGACCTTTTCTCCTTCCTATTCTTGATATGCACAATGATTATTATACTTAAATGAAGAAAATACAGGGAAATTCTGAATGGCACTTGCAAGTTTCTAAGAGGAAGTTCAAATACAGACATTTAGGAGATAGGAGAGAGTGCAAATATATTTTCCTCTCCACAATTTTTTATCTAAATAAAGGGGGTGACAGAAATGGTCTTAGATTTGGTAGAATTATCTAGTAAGATAATATGTGGCATTCTGATAAGAAAAAGTTAGTAAGCAAAGAAGGATTAATGATGATTTTACTCCAGAAATACAATAAAAAAGGACAGCTCCAAAACAAATATTATCCAGTGTGTGATCATTAAAAAAGACAAGAAAAGTTTTCATCTCTATGTAGATTTATTATTTAGATATCTATATTCAAAGAGTGTGAACTTCAGAAGAGACATTAGGTCTGGACTTATATTAAAAATGAGTAACAATTTAACATATTCAGCTTGTATTACACAGTTGATGCAACAAAGAGCAAAGTAAATCAACTGTTTGGTCTCCCAGTACACAATAAATTAAAGAATAAAATGTTAAAAAGCTATCTCCATGGGATATTTAGGCAAAATATGGAACCACAGTACACATTAAGCACCTCAGCAGCTATCCATTGTCCATGGGACTCTCAGAACTGTGACTGAACATCTTTAAAATTCAACTAAATAAGAAAATTCTTCAGAAAATTCCAAAAAGTGAATAGAAAACAATAAAGAGCCAATTCTGTCCTTCATTATCAATTTACTCAACTGTTTTATCATTAAAAGAAAGCTATGGCATTGCTATGGGTTAAATTTGTCCCCCAAAAGTTCATATATTGGAAATTTAATCACCATTTTGACACTGTTAACAGAGTGGGAAATCCGATTACAGTATTTGAAAGGCACAGCCTTTGGGAGGTTATTAGATTGTGAGGACTGTGCTGTCATGAAAGGATTAATCCCTTCATGGAGTAATGGGTTGATGGCAGTGAGTTATCATGGGTGTGGACTGGTAGCTATACAAGGAGAACACATGGGAGAGCTCTTGCTCTTTCCATTCTCACCAGGTGATACTCTGGTCATCACAGGACTCTGTAACGAGTTCCCACCCAGAAGAAGGCCCTCACTAGACATGCCCCCGGACCATGGACTTCCTAACCTCTGAAACTATAAGCAGTAAATTCAATTTCTTTATAAATTACTCAGGTTTAAGTATTCTGTTATAAGCAACAGAAGATGGACTAATACCAGCATCTAGACAGATTTGAGCTTCTACGGCATGACATGAAAACATTTTGCTTCATAGAGATCTCCACTGGTGACAACCGTGTGGTGAGAGAATGGGAAAATAAAAAGCTGTCTTGGCAAAGTCTATCCACAATGAAGGTTGAGGCAGCACAGCTAGCTATAAAATCAAAATTTAGTTATTTTTTATGGCCAATAATTTCTCTGTTTTTCCCTAAACAAATACAACTTCCATCATGAAAATGTCTGAAGGCATTCATTCTTCTGAAGACTGTCAATAAATTTTTAAAAAGTATAAATAAAAATATTTAAAAGTAAAACACTTACCTATTCCAATGAAAGCAGCTTTGTAGCCTTCTTCTTTCAAAGTGCTAAGAGTCATTTCATTCACTGAAAGGCTTTTACCACACATTATCTGTAAGAAAATACATTTTAAATAATAATACTTTGGCATCTGATTAATTAAAATCTTGATGTTTAACATCAAAAAGAATGGAAATTCAGTCAAAAAAATCTATAAAATTCCACATATAATGTGTGGAAATATTTTTGTCTTTTAGTATATAGGCTTACATATACAAAACAATACATAAATAGAACACTAACCTGTTTTATTTAAGGGCTAAATGCAGAAGAAAACCCAGTGTAATTAAAGTCAAGTCAGTAAATTTTCATAGCTTGCTTATATGTTCAAAGCACTATGCAGGCACTTTTGAAAAATAAAATGATAAATGGGAAGTTCCTGCCTCAATGTATGGTGATGTAGAGGCAAAAGACCCATCCATATAAATAAACATCATCTACAACAGAGTATGATCACCACATGTGTCTGGGAGTCCAGAGGATGGAGAGATTCATTCTCACTAAGGTCAGAAGAATGAGAACGCAGAGAGGAAGTGAGATTTCAGTAGCGTCTTTAAAATGAATGGATAGAATTGTGATAGGAGACGCTGTCCAGGAAGGATGAACAAAGTCAAGAGGCAGGGGGCAGTCACCCTTATTAAAAGTCCCAATACTATTGCTCAGTTCCCAGCTATGAGTCAGTTTTCAGATCTGGAAAGTGCTGACTGAAGAGGTGGCTGGGTCCCTAGGAGGAGGACCCTGCAACATCCTGGCAAGTAAATACTGTCATGATTCCCCTAGTCCTTTCCTAACAGGAACTATGATCATTTACCCAGGCAACTGTGCACTGGGAAAAGGGAATAATCAGACATTTCAAGGACACTGGACTACAGATTTTTCACTGACATTGATACCTGGAAAGGAAACAGAACAGTGAGGACCTATGGGGCAAGGTAAAAAATGGAGCCTGACTAAGCACTGGTTCACAGTGGGCCCACTGAGACCACCAGCCCTGTCAGTGATCATTCTCCTAGTCTCCAAGAACATAACTGAAATTGTTACATACACCTGTCATTTGAAGTAATCCCCACATTGGGTCTCTGGTCTGTGAAGTAAGAGCTACAATAGCTATAAGAATTGGAAAGGCCACATGAAAACATCTGAACACTCTGCCAAGAGGTAAATCAGACAGTATCATCCTGGGTGCAGATGGGATATGGAGTGATGGTAGTGGTCTCTGTCATATTTCCGTTCAATTCACCAGTCTGGCTCCTGGCGACCAGTTGATTCTTGGAGGATGCCTGTAAACTACAGCATGCTTAACTAAAGAGTAGCCCTGACTGCAGTTTCTGTGACAGATGTGATATTATTGCTAGAGCAGATTTATAAGGCCAAGGGTACACTGCATGTGGCCATCAATTTGGTGAATGCATACTTTTTACATTCCAATTAGAAAAGAGACCAAAAACAGTTCACATTCACAGAATATAAGTATGAATATTCATTTATAGTTTTGCCTGAGGGAGATGTCGACTCTCTTCTGTAATAATCTATGTAACCTGAAGCAATCGGGACATCCCACAGAACATCAGAGTGATCCATTACACTGACGACATCATGCAGATTGGACAGCATGAGAAAGAGGTGACCAGTCTGCTCGAGACTGTGTAGATACCTGTACTCCGGAGGGGGGAAAAAGAACCCTACAATCAGGGACTCACCACCGGAGTTAAGTTTAGAGATACAGTTGTTAGGTATGTGTTAGTATATCCCCTCTAAAGTAAAAGACAAATAGCTGCATCTTGCATTCCCCAAAATAAAGAAGGAAACACAATGCCTGGTAGATTTCTCTGGGTTCTGAAGGCAATGTTCCTAAAAAACAAGTCTCTAAGCTGAGTCATAGAGGAAAAACAACTTTTACTTGAGAAACAGTAATTGTAGCTAACGTGCATGGAATACTTAACTAAGAACCCTTCCTCAATGAGTTTGGAGAAGTAAATGGTAGAATAGGAATTCCATATTATTTAGGATGTAAATAATCCTAAATAAATTTTGGTTGCTTTAAGAAAACAATAAAGGCTGAAACAATATATGTGTTCAGTTCTCTTACATGTAACAGTGTGAGCCATCTTCCACACCTGACTGAGACCAGTAAGACTTTGTTGTGGACAGGCACTGTGGGAAAGATGGAGGATAACCACTGGGCGGCAGCTCCAAATGAGAAACGAACGATAAAACAACGTTCAGTGGAGATACAGGCACCAAGATGCTTCATGCTCTGTGATTGGGAATCTATTCAAATTTACCTTTCCTAAAAGCCTCAACCCCTGAACATTTGCCATGCAATAAATAACCCACTCTCAGTCAGAAAGAACTAGAAGGAAGATTCTTTGACCAAGAAAAAAAAAAAAGTTAAAACTTAGCTTATATTTTGCCTTGGGAAATTGAGCTGAGATATATAAAACTGGTGTTATAAGACAACTACAAACATCAAAAACATTCCTGTGGCTGAGATGTTATGAAATCTCAACATTATTTGTTAAATAGATATAATGCTAGAAAAATCACATGGTGGGCATTTTGCTTGTGTTTTCTTACATATGGATTATAGTATATATTCTACCTTCCTCTCATGACTTTAATAACATGTGATTAGACATTTCCTAGCTAATTCAGATAAAAATTCACTCCACTTCAAGTTCAATGTAATAGTAACTACTTTAGTCCAATAGAAGTTCTGAATTTCACAGACCCTGAGCCAAAGTTCCATCTAATATCCACACTGGGATTTGATGGAAAGTCTTTTTTTTTTAATCTATAAATAATATATATTCATATATGTAATGATATTTATTATGTAGGATAAAGGCTTACAAATTTTGGGGGGTGAAACTCTTCAAATAAAACATGTTATACTCATTATAAAAATATACAGATAACAGTGTACAAGGTCTTCACATTTTTTTGATAAAAAATTTGGTTAAATACACCAAATATTTCCAAAAGCTCTAAGATAGAAAATAAAATGGAATAATTTTGAAAATAATACTTAGCTTCCTTTAGAGAAAAAATTATTTTGTTAGCTATTAACAGACATGTTTCTCACATTCTAGTAGAAATATGATATGATCTTACGTTCACTTTCCAGTACTATCCTATAATAATGAAAATTCTTGTTTCAAATAACCACAATGCAAAAAAAGATGATATAGAGAGGTTATCAAGAAAGTGATCTCTGTCAGATATTTTGTCTCAAATTATGAAGCAGATGAAATGCATAGCAATTGCAAACTAAATTTAATCAAAATAGAATTCTAACAAATTATTTTGGGAAATGGTGAATATATATATATTTTAAATATGTATAGAAAAATGCAGTATCTTTCTACAGATTTTATGCTTTTAATTTTGGAAAATTAGAAATATTATAAAGACTACAAAACAGAAATATTAATGTCTACCTATATTCTAACTTACATAACAAATTTAAAAAGAGTACTTAATCAATACAATTAGTAACAGTCTCACACAAATATCACAGGAGATTCTATTAAAGTCCACCTTAAGTTAAAAATAATTTGCAGGGGTCTATATTAGAATATTTATTATAAAATTAAAAGCTTTTATAAAATATAACACCTAAGAGGCTACTTCTCCTAAAGAATAAATACTTTCATTACACTAGAAATTATCCTTTGATGTGAAATCAATTGAGTGCACTTGATAAATTAAAAACTGCATATCCTGCTGATAAGTGAAGTGAGAAAAGAAAAATTGAATTCTATCTCAAAAACACATAAGCAAATAAAAATATTATCCTGAACAACTATCATCTAAATGGGAAAAACAAAACCACAATAACTCAAGAATAATAATAAAGTAATGAAAACACATGGATGCTGACAAAGGTTTATTCTGAGAAAAATGAATAACCTTAAATGTTTTCATTATTCAACCTATAAAATGAAAATTAAGCAAATATACAACTCAAGAAGTTAAAAAAACAACAAATAAGAATAGCAGGGGGAAAGTTAATTAAGATATAGTCAGCAATTAATAAGAAAACATTAAACTTCGAGAACCAGTTCTTTTAAAGAATACATCAACTACAGAAAACACAAACTAGTCTTATTAAGAAAAAAAGCTAAGAAACACAAAGTAGGTTTAGAGATGAAAAAGCAAATATAATTACAGGTACAGATGAAATATTTTTATTGTGTACTGGAATAATATGTTTAAATAAATACTAATAAATTCAAAAGTCTCAATGAAACAAAATTTTTCTAACAAAATATATATTGGGAAAATTGACCTGAGGGTAAAAAAGGTAGAAAAGATTAATAACCATGGAAGACATAAAGAAAAATGGTCAAATTTCTGTCTCTTATAAAAAGGCTTTGAGGTCAGAAGGACCAAACTTTTTAATTAAGTAAAAAAGATAAGTCTCAAGACAATATTCTTATCAATAATAAAATAATGAAATGCCTGAATGTTTATTTTTATCAGACTAGTATAAATCTATTACCAAGACTAACTAAGACAACAAATAAACATAAATAAAGCAATACAAAACAAAATAGGCTCTGTAGATTTGTAACTCTATAAGGGTAGCAACGGCATTTGACTATTCCCTGCCATACTTCCAGTTTTAATACTCATCACATAAGTAGGTGAATGAAACAAAAATTTTAAATACTAACAAAACAAATCTGGTGTACAGGTACAGAAAAAATAAAACATGATGCAAAAATTGATATATTCCAGAAATGCAAAAATTAATATAATTCAACATATAAAGTGAACATAAGTTTTTTAAAAGGGCAATTGAGAATTTTAAGACCTTTTCTTTATTAAAATATTTTTAAAGCTTAATAAAATTTGGCAATCTAAGAGTAGAAAAATAAAATATTTATTCAATATGATTAAAAATGCTATCTCTTAGACAAGAAAAAAAGGCTATGTATTTTACAATCACTCTTTTTTTAACATACTAAAGATTCCAGCCATTGAAATAGTGTAAGAAAAAAATATATAATGCACAAATAAAAGATAGAATTCTCATTATTTTCTTGTAACATGATATTTGGCTTGAAAAATTCATCTTAGAGCTAACAAGAACTAATTGTGTATTTGATATGAAATAAATTGAAATTATTCAACAGGAAATGCAGCTAAATGAGAGTTGCGAGTAGAGATGATGAACTGAACTTGATTCTAGAAATGATTAGTTTATATTATTTGTATGATAGATATGTTTATTAAAGTACTAAGAATACAGGACTGGAGTTCAAAAGAAGGATGATTCTAGACGGTTCTAGTATTTGGCACATTACTTGGCAAAAGTAAATTCTGAATAATTATTTGTTAAATAAATGAAACAATCTTATTAGAAAGAAAAAGAAAAAGTAGAAGAATAAACAAGACAATGCTAGACAATGAAAGCAAAATATAAATGCACACATATACTCATCTAAGAGAATTTATGTGCCATATGCTGCACAGGAGTCTTAGAGTATGAACCCAGAGAAAAGTTCTTCTCACTGCCAGGAAATTACTGCTGACTTTGAAATATATAATGTTAGCTGAGATGGACAGACAGAAGGCAGATTGTAAGAAGAATCTGGGTGATAAGGAAAAGGAGGTAACAAGTGTAGACAACTTTTTAAAAATGTACCCTCCTATGGCTAATATTGACAGATCAGCAAGAGTATCTCTCATCAACAGATACAAGTCCCCAAAGTGAAAAAGAATCTCTTTGCTGTCTCTCCTCAGAATTGTATATATAATTGATTGTTCATAAAGCAAGCCTGAATTCTTTATCTCCTTTGCATCTTTAAACAACCTGAGATGGACAAGACAGTATTATTAACTTCCTCTTTAAGATAGGTTCTAATTTTTTTCTCGATAACACAATAAATTCATAAGGTTTAAAATTAAAATTACAAAATGGTGATAAATTCTTCCCACACCTCCCCAAAGGCAATCTGCCCTATCAGACTCTTCCATCATTCCAGAAATTCTCTATGCATATAAAAATAGATGTTTATATTTTACACAAATGGTAGTAGCTACTTTTTCATCTGAACATATGTTGACCAAGGCTAAAATATTAATTGACTTTGACAAGGCTATCTGACTATAAAATTAGAAAGTGGCATGACTGTAGCTAAAATGTATATTTTCTGGCACTAGGTACATTGCCTACTATTATGTCTTGGTGAGTTTTCAAAAGAGTATTGGGTATGCCCTAATTTATGCAATATACCTGGTAGTTCAAAAACTGAATTCAATCTTGCAACTACTTGTAAGATAAATTTAGAAATGCCTTATATTAATTTCTAATTCATCTTCAATTTGTAGTTACACCAAATAAATTAGTTTGAAATTTCAAAAAAATAATCATTTCCTTATTTAATGAGATTTAGGTAAAAACAAATTCAAGATGAAATATACTTAAAGAGCTTTTCAGAATATACTTTTGTAAAGTAAATAATTGCCCCTAAATTGTCTATTTTGAACATTGTAATTTTGAATATTGGGTTTTCATAAAATTGTGCACATCTGCACTGCATTTTTGCTATCAGACATTTTGTTTAGTGATTATATATAAATGTTTCATCATCCGAACTCTGAAAATAAAATGTAATTATAATTGTGAAGCACGAAGAATTGTTTTAAGTAGTTCCCCTTTCTTTGACTAATTTCAAGTTTCATTGGTAAATGCAACAGCCATCAGTAGTTTGTTAATCATTTTTCAAAATATCCTCTGCAAATACTTACCGAGTGTATTATGTAAATCATGGTACATTACTAATAATCTATTGTGTTATGTCTATTACAGAAAATTAACATTTGTGGAACAAAAATAGCAATATGTTTAAGGGAAGAGCCAGAGCATAATACTCTTAATTAATAGAAAAGAATCAGAATATCTAAAGCTATATTCTAAAAGTGCATGTCAATTTTTTGACCATCTTTAAAAGAACACTATTTATTTTGCAAAACTATGACAAATACAAAGCTGTTGCTTTCTACCCCACTGATTTACTACTTATGCTGAGAAAGGATTATCACATTAGCACTACTGACAAGTTGAATATAATAAATAAAATAAACCTCTCTAAAACATAATGTTCCCAATTGTGAAATACTAATGTGTCAGAGTGCACACAACTTGCATGAAAAAAATAAGACTGAAGAAACCAAATCCTTCTATTAGCTGCACTGAACCCCTAAAGCAATGTAAGAATTTGTTTCTTACAGACAATTAATCACATGCAGGCGTGCCAGATGAGAACTATTGATTGCCCTTTTCCAGACTAGTGGCATTCAGACAGTAGACAGACAAATGCCCTAAGCAAAGGGAAGCATCTTTCTGCTTCTGCCTGGTGTAGCTTTTAATTGTTCTTTCTTAAAATGTATGGCATTTGCTGCTAATCTTTAGTGTACAGCTTACTCCTTTCCTTTTGCGGAACACACATATAAGTGTTATGTTTTTCATTTACCTTTACACCAAGGTTCTTCATAAGTTCAATCTCAAAATCCACTACATCATATGGCAGCCGGAACTGAGGGATTTCAGAAGTACTTAAAAAAAAAGAAGAATCATTAGTGGAAAAATTACCAATCGTAAAAAATGCCACATGTCTTTACTGATCAGTATTAGCGTATTTATATGTCACATAATTTGAATGTGAGGACATCCACATTTTTTATTTTTATTAGCATGGCAAAATATTACATGGAATAAAGCTACAGTAGAAACTGATATTAATAAAAATAAATTATCAACAATGGAAAATAATAAATATAAAATGGTCAAAAGCAACTGCAATGCTTTTAACTTCAGTAATATATTTAGTTGATTTAATTAATAACAATTCTATAAATTCCTAAGATAACAAAATCTTAAAAACTAGAAATTAGTAGAAAGTATATATAGAGTTTAATACAAGGGTAATTCAAAAAGTTTGTGGTAAATAAAGTTAAAAGATAATACAAATTTTTCCGTGAACTTTTTTTATATGAAGAGTCTTCAAAATGTTCATGGAAGGATTCATATTACCATGTAATTCAACTTTTCCATGAACTTTTTGAAGTACTCTTATCACACACTGTTTTAGTCCATTTTGTGCTGTCTGAAATTGGGTAATTTATAAAGAAGACTGGTTTATTCGGCCTACAATTCTGCAACGGCTGCATCTGGCACGGGCCTCAGGCTGCTTCTACTCATGGCAGAAAAGAGGAAGGCAGCTGGCAGGTATAAGCAGATCACATGGCGAGAGGAAGCGAGAGCGAGAGAGAGAGAGAGAGAGAGAGAGAGAGAGAGAGAGAGAGAGTGTGTGTGTGTGTGTGTGTGTGCCAGGGCGCTTTAAACAATCAGGTCTCACGGGAACTAATAGAGCAACTAATAGAGCTAGAACTCACTACCCCTCCTCCCCCAGGGAGAACATTAATCCATTCATAAGGGATCTGCCCCCATGACTCAATCAGTTTCCAACATTGCCACATTGGAGATCAAATTTCCACATGAGTTTTGGAGGGGACAACACACCCAAACTCCATCACACACACATATACAAACACATATATTCCATAAATATACCTCTAGCTTTTTGAGATTCAAATGTACAATTTTGTATTACCATGCTGTTTAGAATATTATAGAATCAGTTCCATGTGATGTACAGAACATTTTCACCAGCAAACCAGGAGAAGTAAAACAGTCTCCTTTTGTAAAAGCAATAAGTATCCTGAAAGGATACAGTCATTAAAAAGTAACCCTATTTGATACCAGTGTTCATTGCCTATACTTAAAAAAAAAAGATCACAAGACCTATAGTACTATTATTTCATAGTATTATTATTACATAGTAGTATAATAGTTTAGATAATTAAAGGTAAGCTCAAATAACTTTTCAATGTTTTATAGCAATAGAAAGGCTACATGTGTTCATGAATATATGCCAATTCATTCATTCATTCTGTTTATTCAACAGGCATTTATAAAGTGCCAGGCACAGTGTAAGCTGCAATGATTTGATGATAAATTTTACCAAATTCACGCAATGAAATAAGGTACATGCAATGAAAGAGATACATCCAGGAATTACAGAGATTAATCTGTATATTAAATAAATAACTGTTGAAGAAGAATCTTCTATATTATCTAGCGCAATGTCTGCCAAAGTGCATATGCAACCTTTTCATTCTTTGGTAACTTAAGAACTTGATTATTCAATTTAATTCCATCCAATCAGCAAGGAACCATGCTCAGTGTTATAGAAAATGCAAAGTGTTAAACAGCATAACGTCAGGGATCTACACAAAAGGAATTTTCCATCTGGTTAGGAATATAAGATTATATGTAAGAATAAATTTGAGCCACATTACCTCAGGGGTCCTTAAAATGCTCTGGATACCACAGAAGGCTTTGCCTTCAAAGGCTGAGCAGAAAGATTCTTAACTATTACAGGTTGTATGTGGACACAGACAGACACGCAACCTTCCAGGCATGAGGCTTGGTGGGAGAAAGATTAAATATGAACTAAAATTGGGAACTGATGCAGGTCCTCAAAAGGCTGGACAAGAAAGCAAAAATCATGGACAGTGAATAAAGAATTCCAGCCAAATAAACCAACTACAGCAAGATGAAATTTCTTAAATATATGCAGACACAATGTGAGGCTGAGCACCTTCCTATAAGCAAGCCCTACTCTGGGATTTTTATGGGATCTGAGTAGAATATATGCAGTAGAGGGGAAAAAAAATGGTGCTAGGGCAGGCCAGTAGTTCTAATTTAAGAAATAACTCTGAAAGAGCAGGTTACATATGATCCAGCAATCCCACTGCTGGGTATATACACAAAGGAATGGAAATCATTGTGTTAAAGAGATGCCTGTATTCCCATGTTCATCACAGCTCTGTTTACAATAGCCAAGACATGGAACCAACCTAAATGTCCATCGATGGATGACTGGATAAGGAAAATGTATATATACACCATGGAATACTACTCAGCTATAAAAATAATAAAATGCTGCCATTCACAGCAACATGGATGAGCTTGGAGAAAATTATATTAAGTGAAATAAGCCAGGCACAGAAAGAGAAATACCGCATGTTCTCATTCATAAGTGGGAGTAAAGAAAGAGGGAAAGAGAAAGAGAGAGAAAGGAAGGGAGGGAAGGAGGTAGGGAGGAAGGAAAGACCACAATAACACATCAAACTTTCAGAAGGAGAAAACAGATCTATGGTCACTAGAAGCAGTAAAGGTGGAGGTGGAGGGGGTTAAGGAGAAATTTGGTAATAGACACAGGAAAGATTATGATTTGTAGTGATGAACACACTAATAATACTGATTTGATCATGACATACTGTACACAAATACTGATAGTCACTCTGTACCCCATAAATATGTATAATCAAAAATAAATAAAAAATATATTTTTAAAAAAACCTAAAGTAAAAGGAGAGAACATTATTTGTAGACTTAAGTAAATATTGTACATAAAAATATTTTGTAAACTAGGGAAAGAAGAAAAAAGGAGCAGGTTATAAGAGCAGTAACAACTTTTCTGTTCTGCAGAAAAAAAGAAAGAAGGTTATACTTAACCCAGCAGGAAGAAACCTGAGCAAGGAGGAAAGAGCAGTCATGGTCCACCACAGTATAAATCTAAATGTTAAAGCGGGTACCAGAGGCAAATGGAATGCCAGGCTGCCGAGGCTGCAGCAGCTCTGCTTGGAACCTCATAATCCCCTGAAATCACTATAGCCAACACTTAGCACAGTGTTAAATAAATGGTGCATGTGTTAAGGGAATAAATACGAGAATCACATTTCCTAGCATCTCTTACAGGAAATAAGAGGAATGTGAAATACTAAAAAAATGTAGTTAGATTTGGTCAGAATAAAGTAGGCAGAAGGTGGGTAAGTGATTATTGATTGTTATAAATGTGACATATTTATATTCACCAATAGAGGAGGTCAGCAAACAAATGGGAGATACACACGTATACACAGTACAATATTTGACAAACGTAAAATACCAAATGTGAACAAGAATGTTTCAAAGGAGGAAAAACTTATTGTGGGATGAGATAATCAGGTAGGTGAAATCCCTTAGGGCTTTAAATGCCATCAATATGTGATGACTCTCACATTTTTACCTTAGATCTATATCCTGGACTTTTATATCCATTTGGGTGTCTAACAGGTGTCTCAAATTTATTATGCCTAAAACTAAACTTTGGTCCCTCCCCGTCAGCGCTGGTCCTCAGATAACCCCATGCCATCAGCTGCCCTAGCCCCAAATCTCCTCCTCACACTCTATTTCCTTTTCAGCACCATGCCAGGCCCAGGTGCAGGCAGTGAGGGGGGGACACTGTTTTTAGACCATTTAAAAACAATTACAAAATTTACTAAAATTAGCCTGTTTCGTATTATTTCCATGAGATGATAATTCTAGACAGTGTCAGTGATATTCTAAACAATGTCCCCGCCCAAAAAAAAAAAACCTTGCTGGGTCTAACTTCTACATAATAGCTATAGTTGCTATAGAGTCTCAGTAATATATATGTAAACAATATTTTTATAAAGATTTTAACTTACAAATTGTAACTTTACATACTTATGGGGTATAATCTGTTGTTTTGATACATATATAAGTTGCATCATAATCGGATTGGGGTAGTTAATGGATCATGTTACCTCATGTATTTATCATTTCTTTGTGGAGAAAACATTCAAAAGCATCTCCTCTTACTATTAGGTAATATACAAAACTTAATTGTTACCACAGTCACCCTCCTGTGCAATAGAACATCAGAACGTATTCCTCCTATCTAATTGTTCCCCATTTGTAATAAACACTGTGTTCTACAGGGAAGTTAGCTGGGAGAACTCCAGTTAAACAGTGGCCACTGGCACATACTGATTCGGTTACAGGCATTCCTCATTCCAACTCCTGTAGGTAGCGGGTGTCTCCACCTCTGTGATACTATATGTTCCAGTAGCTGAACAGCTGATTTAGAATTCACAAAGTGATAGCATATGAAACAATATGAATTACTTCAATTCTGTCATTTTGTGTGACCACATGGAGTTTTTATTTGTGTTTAAAATGGAAAACAGTGACAGTGTGAACTATATCTTTAATACTAAAATGATTTTCTTGTAATTGTTAATTTTGTTTTATAGGATTGAATTAATTATTATTACTGATTATTACATATTTCTTTTTGAAAGTAATTTATTACATAGACTAGATTATAAGCATGTTTTTGAAAATCCACTAATTTAGTACACGAGGTACACCACTGAACTGCCATTCTTAATACCCCCTCCCTACATTTATCATCACCTGACATATTCTCTATTAGGTTTATTGTTTGTTTATTGTCTGACTCCCCATCACTAGAATATAAGCCCCATGAGAACAGATACTTTGCCTTGTTCACTTTTGTAGCTCTAGTGCCAGAAATAATGACTAGCACATAGTAGGTGATCAATAAATATTGAGGAAGGAAGGGAGGGAGGGAGGGAGGAAGGAACAAAGGAAGGAAGACAGGTCAATATCAGGTCATGGAGGTCTTCCTGTGCCAGGCCAGATCCTTTATCTCTTAGGTTATGGGGAGTTATTGAAAGATTTCAAGTACAAGAGTGATATAATCAGATTTGGAAACTAAAAGAATAGATTTGAAAAGGCATATCAGGAAGCCAAGAGAACCTTTTGGAAGCTACTGCAGTGGTACAGGAAGTGTGAGGTAAAGGACACCAGAGCTGGAGAGTTGAGAAGACCTCTTAAAAAGTATTCACAAAATACAATACCAGGATACTGAAGAGTACTAGAGATTGTTCCCATATTTTTTTAGTGATGCCATCCCCTGAGATCGCAAACTCAAAAGAAGAGCAACGCTGGTATGGTGAGACTTAGGAAGAGATGTTCAGAATTCACATGTATGAGTCTGTTGCTCAGGACAGAGAGAAAGTTCAGGGAAGTCACAGATTTTAAAATAATTTGCACATAGATGATAATTGAAACCATGAGAGTAAATGAGATTACCCCTGAAGACTGCGTGGTGAGAAAGAGAAGAAAAGGACAGATGACAGAATCTGATAAGAAGGATTCCTTCCAAAGTTTGTTGTGCTTATGAAAACAAGCTTTTCTTCTTCTATCTGTGCTCTTTTAGCAACAGATAAGATTCGGAAAGAAATATTTTCTTGTGGCAACCATAAATCCTTCAGTACAGTCAGTGGAATGTGAGATAACATGGAAAAAAATAGTCTTTCTTCTATATTCATGTTTCTTTCGTGTAATGGAATTTACCTATAACAACTCCTTTCCATTCTTTTTAAAGCACAATTCTCATACTTTGACAGAGCTTTGTTTTGGTTCATTACTGTACTGCTACTAGACGTTAAATGTACACTGTATCACACATTCTAAAATATTTCCTATTGCTACAACTATTTCATATAGATCCCATTTCTCTTTATTGCCAATCAACAGGAAATGCTATAGACATAATGAAAACTTGTAACTTTTGAAACAGCTAAGGCAAAGGACAGCATTATCCTATCTTGCCTAACAAAAATGTTATAATTCATATATATTAATTTTTAAGTAAAAGAAAAACATCAGAAAGTATATACTATATGTGCATGCATACATATAATCTCTAAATACCATTTTGCTTATCTGTTACCCTAATATCAAGCCCTTTTAACCCTTTTAAACTCATGTCCTAAAAAAAAATGCCATGGTAGGAGAAAAATATAACTACTGATTATTTTACAAATTTGTTCCAATATCAAAAATAATTGATCAATTGTGTTCAATGCAATAGGAATTACGTCTGGATATCTATCACTGACTGTAGTGATTTTTTTTAAAAGTGGTTGTGACACTAATTCACCAGGGATAAAAGAATCTGTTTGGATGCAAAGAGAAGGAAAGATAAAACTTGACATCACCTCTTTAAGCAATTGATTTCAAATACAAAGGTAACTTAATCTTTTTTTAGCCACTTTGAAGATACAAGAGAATGAGAGGCCTTTGTAAGTGATAAAATAAATTAACAGAAAAGTTTTGTGGTTGTAATTCTGGCTAAATTCCAGTGTCAGTCTTTATAATCAGTGACATGCCTCTACCATGGCACCGTACAAATGAGACTGATTAAACACTTCATATTGTCCCTAGATTCTGGGAAAACTCAAAGGCAAAAGAAAGAAAATAAATATATATATTTTTTTGTCTTTTGTCTTTTTCCGTGTCCGGCAACGGATCGCAACCCTCAGTGTTGCCCCCGTACCGGACCGGGGACCGGCAACGGGATTGCAACCCTCGGCGCTGCTCCCGCGCCTCGCTCAGCCAGTGAGCGGGAACTGGTCTGTATGTGGGATCCGAACCCTCGGGCGGGAGCACCGCCGCGCTTCCCAAGCGGCGCACTTATCCAGTACGCCACCGGGCCGGCCCAAGAAAATAAATATTTTAAAAAACAACAAAAAAATGCTTTGTTATGTCATGTATCCAGGAGCATCTATCCCACTAGAAAATGTTCAGCAAATATATAAAAACACAAGTTTAGTGCTAATTTATATGATTTAGTAATGCCTATTCTGCATTTGAATTAAAAAATTTTTTTAAAAAAAGAGAAATGCTTACAACCATAACCTTCTACCAAAATTGGCAACAGAATTATTACAAACGGGGCTGTTTCCATCTTAGGTTGCTGTGAAAATGCAATTAAGGGGCAAAGAGATTTTCTCCTACTCTACCAAACTCCACGACAATTAAGTTCATATTTTTAAAATTAGCTCACATATTCACTGATGTGTATAATTGAAAAAAACATACAATGCTAATACATATATTGTTAATAGATTATGCTTTTCCTAATTAATAAAGCTGTGGTGAAATGCAGTTAAAAAGATAATCTAAAACCTTTCAGCAAAATAATATGTAGGGTATTTTACTTTCTAGGAAAAAAAACATAAAATATGTGTAACCTCTTAAAAGTCATAGTGGTAAAACATCAATATAGAAAAATAATTATTTCTTGACATTCAGGTTATTTATGCTTCATATCCTATCTAAAGTGTCTTCCTAGTATGTAATATTTTTGCTTGATGATTCAAATACTTTTATATTAACGATAGCTTATATATCAATGTACATGTCAATAAATATATAAAAATATTAATATCAATGATACAAATAATAGATAATTTTATATTATCTTCAGCTTAGCATATTTTCTCTTGACCAATACTGAAATTTATACATTAATTAACATATTTATAGATTCTAGAAAGCATAAGAAAAATCACAAATGTTAGTCACGACTTGATTAAATTTATTCTCTTTCATTACTAGACATGATAAATTTATTGCTTAAAGAATAGTTCAGTATCCATAACAAATTTAAATGTTAAGTGTAGAAACAGTATTCCAAATGGTTGTATTTTAGAATCCACAGTTTTTTGACACAAGATAACACACTTAGGAAAAATAACAATAAATTGAACAATATTATTAACTTACCACCCACATTTTTTCTCATTTTTATATCAAATGTATTAAGCAATATCCACTCCCTATTTATAACAAGTTTTATTTCTTTTTTCTTTCTTTCTTTTTTCTTTTTTTTTTTTTTTTTTTTTTTCTTTTTTTTTTTTTTTTTTTTTTTCTTTTTTTTTTTTTTTTTTTTTTTCTTTTTTTTTTTTTTTTTTTTTTTCTTTTTTTTTTTTTTTTTTTTTTTCTTTTTTTTTTTTTTTTTTTTTTTCTTTTTTTTTTTTTTTTTTTTTTTCTTTTTTTTTTTTTTTTTTTTTTTCTTTTTTTTTTTTTTTTTTACCATAAGGGGATCGCAACCCTCTGCACAGTATGGTCCACACCACGCTCAGCCAGTGAGCGCACCGGGCATCCCTATACAGGATCTGAACCCGCAGCTCACCTGAGTGAGCCACGGGGCCAGCCCAAGTTTTATTTCTTTATGTTCATAAACGTAATATATGTCCAGTATAGAGGTTCTACTTATTTTAAATAAAGCAAAATCCACCTATTTTCTAAGCTTGGTTTGGACATCCGAAAGTCACTGACACAAAGCAAATGTTTCCCATTTCATTAAATGAATTCTCGTGGGAATAAAATGACTATGTGACTGAATCCTAGCTTTCAATAATAATACTGATTATTATCAAATATTAATTAGGCATTAATTGAATAAAAACTGCAGAAATGTATATTTAAGTAGCATATTTCTAGTAGACTCTAATAACATTGTAATCAAACGCAGACTTAGGAGATGGTAAACTGAAAATACGTGAAGAGGACAACATGTCTATGTATAAAACAAAATAAACAGTCCAATATACTATGGAGCTAGATTTTCCCCATCTCTAATATCCATGATTTTCGGGTATATCTCCATTAAAGGAAAGATTCACAGGGATGAAACAATTTGTCATATTATTGGTTCCTATAGCCAAAAAAATATTTTGCTGAGATTTGCCTTAAATTCACAGAACTAGACAGAGAAATTCTTAAATTAATATTGCTTAAAGCCAACTGCAAAATATAAAGTGAACAGCATAATTAAAATGAGCATTTGGAAAATGAACATTCAAAATACCATCTGTGAGCCTGAAGTTTCTATATGATTATGAACCAACTATTTATAATTGTTTTTACCCCATCATCTTTGACACTATAAACATGAAATAAACTTAGGCATTACCTTAAACCACCAACATATTCTTGTTTTTCAAATATAGTGATGTCAGAGTAGCCCAATCGTGCCAAAAAAGAAGCACAACTTATACTTGCAGGCCCAGCACCAAAAAGAGCAATCTTTGCAGAATAGGCTTCAGACATTTTTTCTGGAGGAGGTAGAGAAGGATTTCGGATCTGTGGGATTTTCATTGCTTTGAACACCTACAGAAAATTCAATTCCATGGTTAAAATTTTTAAACTAACTTTTACATCCTCAAGCATATTTTTAATGTTTCAAATCCATTAATGTTTTAAATACAATGAGCACTACATTTTCAGTATTAATATGGCATTCTTAAAAGTCAAATTTTGTCAAGTAGATGATGACTTATGGCTGACTAACTCTCAGTCTTTGAAATTCCTTCCTTGAGTCACACCTCCTCTGGGAAGCATTCCCGACTCACCTTCCCTATTCCCACCTCAAAGCCAACTTAAGCACTCCTCCTCTGAGCTCCAAAAGCATAATTTGTAAGTTTCTAACATAACCACTTAACATATCTGTTTACGTGTTATATTTCCTTGTCAGTAGAATGTTAGTTCCTTGAGTCAGAAAATATGTTATGTCTGCCACCATTTCTCCATTTTCCATATATCAATTCAACCCCCATTTACACCTTTTTTTTTTTTTTTTTTTTTTTTTTTTTTT